GGACTTCATCCACCCAACCAATACATCGCCCAATCAACCCAATCAATCAACAGATTCAATCAGGTATACCTACCCAAGCAATCTTCTTTTTTTTCCCAATCACTTCATCCTTTAAATTCGGTTTTTACCTTTCTTTCCCTCTTTCTTAACTTCGTCAAATAGTCACTTCAATGTTCCACTTCTTTGGGCGGGCTTTTTTTTTTTTTTTTTTTTTTTTGGGGGGGGGGGGTTGGGGGGGGGCGCAAGATCTTTCTCTTTTGAGTCTTTTCCCTTTTTTCCTTTCTTTGGCAATTGATTTATTTTTTCCACACACTACTCCATCATGCAACCAGTCTTCAACCGCTCTAAAGAATCCTCCTGTCTGAAGGCCCCAATGGCAGAGGCTGAAGTAGGCCCCTGTCTAGACAGGTCTCCGGAGACCGCTTGTGTCAGGGTCTCTCTAGATGGGTCCCTCACAAGCATCAACAACAAACTGATCACTCGCCGCCAAGCCTGGGCTGAAGTGAAAAGGAAATGGAAAGGGCAGCTAATTTTGTCAGATGAAGTATTGAGTAGAACTACAGTAGGCACATTAGTTGATTGTGGGTCGACACGCAGTTATATATAGTAGGAAAATGACTTTTTTTTTTTAATGCACCTTGGTATGAAAGTGCAGAATTTGGATACGCCGGTAGTTAACAAACTGGCAGACAACCGTAAGATGAGAGTCGGCGAGTACGATGAGGAGATCAAGGCATACTTCCGGTTGGAGGGAGAGAGTCGACGCGTACGGGTACGATGGGGAGATCGAGGCATACTTCCGGTTGGAGGGAGGGAGGGAGGGAGGGAGGGAGGGGATAAGAACGTGAGAAGGAGCTGGATTCCCTGACCCTTCTAGTGGAGGACAGCCTACCCTTTGACTTGTTGCCAAGCATGAGTGGATTGGGGAAACGCCGTGAAGGCTGATGAGAAGATGGGTGAGCATGAGTGCTGGCTGCCCAGTCCAGACCAGAAAGTTGGAAGAAGAAGGCTACCGTCTTCACCCGAATAGAACGCCTGGTCATTATAGCCGTATTTGATGCATTTTGCAGTCCACATACGGCCATAATTACCGGGCGTTCTATTCGAGTGAAGACGGTAGACTGTTCCGTGCGGTTGGAGTCCAGTCCACCGTACCCTATCATTGTGTTGTTTTGCACGAGTGCCCCTGAGTTCACCAGGGGCACTCATGCAACACAATGACAGAAGACATCGTTGACCAAGTCAAGTCTTTGTAGCCTATGTTAGACATCAGCAAATTGTACGGACAGTGATTTGACTTAGGCCGGTTAGTGAAGGTAAAAAGGAAAAACTACTGAAGGTAAAAAAGAAAAACTACTGAAGGTAAAAAGGAAAAAGTAGTGAAGGTAAAAAGGAAGGAGGAAGCAGAGACACCGCCCAAAGTCAAATCACTGTTGGAACAATTTGCTGATGAGGGCCCAACCGGTGCGGCAGAGAGGGAGATAAATCACCGGATTGAGATTGAACCTGGTAGTAAGAATCTCCAAGGGCCCGGTCTATACTATGTCTCCCAAGGAAATGGAAGAGTTGTGTAAGCAGCTCAACGAACTGATCGAGAAGGAGTGGATAAACCCGAGTTTCTCTCTCTCTCTCTCTCTCTCTCTCTCTCTCTCTCTCTCTCTCTCTCTCTCTCTCTCTCTCTCCTCTTCTCTCTCTCTCTCTCTCTCTCTCTCTCTCTCTCTCTC